CCCCAAAACCCCAAAACCCCAAAACCCCAAAACCCCATTAATCAAATATCATATTTATGTATAGAAAAAATGAAATAATAATACCTTTTTAAATTAGTATCAAAATGATAATAGCATTAAACAGGATATAATTCCCGAAGCAAAAGCTTTAAATATCCAACCTTGACTAATAGCTCTAGCAGCATCTAACCCTGAGATATAAGCCCCATGAACAGTGCCAATGAAATCAAAATTGGTGTGCTCACCAGCAAAATATACCTTTTTGTCGATATCAGAGGCGATATTAGCGGGATCTTCATCAGTTGATCCAGCCTTAATGAAAGTATAAGATTGATATGCAAATTCATCTTATCCCCAGTTTGATCTTTTATAATTAACATAGTCTGGAGCATTAGGGTACATTGTTCTCAATGTTGCCATAGCAGAATCAAGTACTTATTGATCAGTCATTTATGCAAATGACTACGCATCTTTCCCAATATTAAACATCAGTAGAATAGGTTTCTGAGTATACTTGTATATATTTAAGGTTTGTGTCCATTTCAAGTCACCATCTGATATATAATTAAGCCAGTCCATGTCTTCATCCCAGAATACTGAACTGAATTCAAGTGCAAGCTTATCCATTAGTCCGGCACCAAGTCCATTTATTGAGCTCTGCTTATCTGAAGGTAGAGGTGGAGTGAAAGTAATAACATTGTTTTTAAGAACTCCTAATGGGACAGTTACAATAACTTTATCACACTCATAGGTGTCTCCAGATTGAGTTGTGATAGACACTTTGTTGCCGGAGTAGTCAATTCCCACAACTTTCTTTTGATAGACTATGTTGATTCCAGTGGAAATAGATTCAGGTATTTGAACATATCCGCTTGGGAAGATATGTTCTGCTCCTTTAAAATAGGATTCTGTACCCACGTATTTAGCTGAGAGCTAATCAGGATCAGCTGCATAATCTGACCCATAAAGATAGCTGAAGGAAAAGTTCTTCATGTTCCTATTTACTTGGTTATCAGTCATGGGGAAATTTGTGAATAGTTGTTCTAGTGTGGTCTATTGAGATGCTGAACTTTAGTGGTTTTTTAAATATTCTTCAAAATTATCTGTAAACGAAGAGATGTCATAAGTAGTCTTGCCTCCTTACCACCAGAAGAATGCTTCTTCTGCACTGTCTTCATCCTGCCAGGTTGCCACAGTAGCTATATTGTTATCTTTAGCTATCTAATATATTGGATTGAACTTATTATTCCACTTCTTGAGACCTTCTGCTCCTTTACCAATTCCATGAATCCAAGAAGCCCCCATATCGATTGTATTCGTGCCGACAGTAGAAGTCCATATTCTACCTCCTATTCTGTTACGAGCTTCCAAAACAGTAGGATTACATCCTGCCTCCTTAAGTTACTTTGCAGCAGCTATTCCAGATATTCCAGCTCCAATTACAACTATCTCATAGTCACAATCAGCGAAAACTGACTGAGTCAGATATGAAACTGATATTAGCAATAACTATTTGCGAAGATTTGAGATCTTACTATTCATTAAAATAATATTATATAATATAATCTCTAATGATATCTCTCATCATAAATATATATATTTATTATTTATAGCAATATGTTTATTTGTAGAATCCAAGCCAATTACTTTGAGTGGGGTTTTGGGGTTTTGGGG